ACACCCAATAGTCGACTGACACTCAAGGATAATCGATTAACAAGACTAGCACAAAACTGGGTATTTTCAGAGGATGGCGATAATCGATTAATAGCTTTGAGATAATCGATTGTGAAGGTTGCTGGTTTTGTAACGAGGAGTCAGAAGGATAGAATAGTCGATTATTAATTGTGTATAATCGATTATGCAGTTTTTTTCAGGATTGGAAGAGAAAGAAGGAAAGGCATTATTTGGGTAAAAGGTTTTGAAAAGATAAAAACAAGAAACAAAGGTTTTGGCCTTTATTTTCTTATCATTGTGATGGAAAAGACTTTATTTTTGATAAAATAAAAGAAATAAAACTTTTGGATATGTTGGGAGAGTTTGGGTTTTGGTAGAACTATCCAGGGGTACATCAATAATTGATGTAAAAATAAAAATAAAAATATTTATATACTCCCTTTTGTCCCCAAATAAGGTTTCTAGTGTCCTTTTCGAGTTGTCCCAAAATAAAATTACCGTTTCTAAAAAAGGAAAAGATTTATATTGAAGGACAAGATTGCTCCTTATCAGTACTCTCTTTACTCTGTATTTCTTTTGCCTAACTTAAATATATGTGTGCCCTCGTGCTTTCTTATAAGTTTCCGTTCATCCCGTTTCTTCCTTCCGCTAGGTTGAACAAAATGATAGTACAAAACGCTAAAGTTGCTCAATGATTGCTGAAACGAAGAAAAGCTGACCATGAGTTTTTTACAATCCTTTTAAAGACGTAATCTTATATTCTAATTTAGATGCCTCTTTCATAGGTGTTGACTCATAATGAATATTTTTTCACAATGCCATTTTGATTTTACATACTCCCTATGTTTCCTTATTACTTCGCACACTTTCTTTTTTGGACGGTCCAAAGTACTTCACACACCCATTTTTGGATGCTCCCTTTCACATCAACTTTTTGATCAACTGGTTCATTTACTTTTCATCAATTAAACCTATTTCTCTCTCCTAATTAAATAACTCTATTTTTACTCTTAATCTACATGCAAGTTGAAGCGAGCAACGCATTTAGATAGAAGGGAGTAGAATGCAACCAACTAATTATCTAGAATTTATAGACAAATAAATGTGTTTAAACTTTCAGCACAATCAAAAATAAAAAATTAATATAAGGGAGAGAAAGGTACCAAACAGTAATAGCGTGGCCTCGAATAGGGAATACCAAACTGCAAAGGGCTCAATATAAATTCTTGTGTGACAAACTCATGTTTCTCCAAGATTTCCATCATTTTATCATGTGTATCTGATTTCTGTGATGAACAAATAGGGCACAACAGACACATAGACAATGGATGAGCACATTGCTGAAACATAGATATTAAAAATCATGACGTCTAGGCTCATAGTATTGTAATACAGACCTCAAATCCTACTACATTCTCCACAAAAAGAAACAGTGGAGGCATTGCTACATCGGGTATAAGTTCCAAAATCTTGAGAAAAGAAGCAGCCCGAGCATCCTTAGAACCTTTCTGGAGGCCTGGACACAGAATTTTAAAAAACATACCCACCAACAAGGCACTTCAATTTCCAGCCACCAAATCGATATCGAAAACAGAGAAATACAAAACATGGTGCATATCATGACCTTGTCGGGTGTATGGTTGACAAGGAGGAGAAAGAAGCCATGCATCTGCCCGGTAGCCATCAAGATCAGCAGCACTCAGAGTCTGAATATTACCCTAAAAGACAACTTAAAAACTTTATGCTTGAAGATAGCATCACATTGTCAACCTAAAGGATAAGTTTTCCTTTTTGCGGATGAAAAATTGTCTCCATATAAATTTCCTTAAATTTAATGCCAATTACCATGGTTCTTTAACCACCAAATTTGCCACTGGAAAATATGTATGTAAGGGAGTGCTTTGGGAATAGATTGTTTTGCGAGATAAAAAAGACGGGGAGAGAGAATGTCAAATGGTATTTCAATTTTTTTATTAGAACCTGCAAGAGATCTTATTTTCATGAGAAATTTCATTTGTTGAGCGAAAAGGAAAATGGCATTGGTATTTGTACACAAGTAAATATCGATTATGTAGTAAAGAAAAAGCAAATGGGAAAGGAATCCATTGAAAGAACTTGTGCAAGTTCCTTTTTCTACTGAAACTAGTCCTAAATCGTAACCCGCCAAGAGAGCACATGTTTGACGGGAGCATGAAGAAAAGAGGAAACAATGGACCTTTACACAAAGCTTTTAATAAAATTGGGAAAAGATCATTTGAATAGTAGTGATTTAAGTACATTCTTTTTCTCGGCTGGTTTCTCATTTAATGTTACGAGGAATACGTGCCAAAAATCCTTATTTTCTTAGTGCATTTACATAGGCTGCTATGACCAATACTTTTGGGCATGTACCACCTTGCAATAATGCCATTAGAACTACATTTTTGAAAAAAGAGATCGATTGTAATGAGTTTGCTTCACCCAATCAAAGACATGTGTCTGGAGAAGGGTGTAGTTGTGAAAAAATAGTGAGAGTGGTTAGATCACTAATCAAAGGTATAGCAGCCTCGAATTTGGGGCATATGTTCTTGAGGGCTATTGATGGTTCAACTCATTATAGATACTACTCTATACACTGTTTTGCAAGGCTTTGGGATCAATTATTGAATCTATGTTTCCTCATATTTCTTGGACACAAAGTGTAATATATACCATAAACTTTGTTTTCAATGACATGTGTGCTCCTAAAAATACCCTAAGCAATGAAGCTGTTTATTCTGAGTGCATTTGGATTCTATTTGTTGCCAATGATGCATTTTACCTGAAGAATTTTAGCAAGATTCATTCCATTATACTTTTATTTTAAACACATTTGTATATCTAAATCTGTTGTCCATTGCCAACACCAGATTTGCTTCTGCCATTGTTATGCATTAAGCGTGCTCTTCAAACTATTGTTATCATAGAAGAATGAACCTTTGTAAAGAAAATGGTCAGAATATCTTCAAAGAGCATAATTTGTGAAATAAATTATTCTAAAGTACAATTGGTGGAAAAAAGGGTTATATTTTGAGCTTCATAAGACCCATTTTGACATGATGGAATTAAGCAAAATGGTTATTTAAGAGGTCTGTGCTTCTTTTGTTAGTGAAGTAGCACTTAGTCGATGCAACTTTCGACGCTCCTCATGGGTTATCCGGAAATAGCAGCTCTATATTTTAAACATAGGGGTCAAGCTGCATACATGATTGCATGTGGTGCTTGAGCCAGGGTCTCTTTGGAAACAACCTCACTACTTTCAGCTAGGGGTAAGGTCTATGTACACACACCCTTCCCAAACCCTACGTTTGTGGGATTCAACTAGGTTGTTGCTATTGTTTTTGTATAAAGCCCATTTTAACATGCTCCGATCTTGTGATAGAGAATTAGTGATAAGCCATTCATTCGTTTGGTTGATGAAAATGGGGATTCTAGGATTGAGACAGTGAGAGAGGCAAAATAGACTACGAAGGCAAAGAGTTTACTGAACCTTTATCCTTTTATGAAGTTGTATAATTGACTAAGGTAACACATCACCTCATTGTCTTGCCCATCCACTTTATCTCAAGTAAGTCCAAATGTCTTTGTTTCAACTTTTATTACATTGCCATTGTTTAATGTGTGTTAGGCTGTTAGGACTTAGGAGTTGTTATCAATACTCAATGTACTAACTACTAGTACATTTTTTTGGTATTTTAGCAAGCACTGGCATGGTGCAGCACAAAATAGTGTGTCCCCGAATAAGTATAATGAGATTGACTTGGGCAGGAACATATTCCTCGGGAACTTTTTTCCAAAATCAAAGGATACATCACATGTAACCCAAGAATCTGTAAAATTCTCTAGTAGTGAAGATGTGCTTTGCTGGTTTGATAGCTTACAATATAGGTGGAACCTCTCACCCAAGGGTGATCAGTGATGTATGGATCTTCACTCCGGAAACTTTGAAACTTAGCCTTGAAGTTTCACAGCCATGATCTTCCTCATGTTTTGAAAAGACTTGGAGTACATATTCCTTAATCCACTATCTAAAAGGAAATAAGATTAATCTAAAAAGAGCCGATGATTTAGTATTCATGCACATTAATAATCATTTGGTATCAAGAAGGACCAAGAACTATCATGAAGGTGTTAGGGCTTGTTTATTTTGTTTTGATGTGGCATCAAACAATTTAGACTTGTTTTATGTTGAATATATTTGGGTTTTAATTTTAAATTTTATCATGTGAAATTTCAGTTTTAATTTTTCTATCTTATGGAGATTATGACTTTTTAATACTTAAGAAATACACCGGGTATACAAAGTTGTCACTATACCTTGTTATTACAAAAAAAACATTGAACCTTACTTGAACCGAAAGTTAGATATACACCGGCCTTAACTCTACCCAATGAAGTAGGGCCATTTCCGAGAACCCCCAAAAAGCTGTGAAAGAGGTAGCGTGAACAATTTAACATTATGAAAGTAAGCAAAACCAGTTTAAATGGCAATCAAACGAAGTACTAACTAAAGCCCACCCAATGCACACCTCACTACAGGGCCAAGAGAGTCTCAATCCCTAACAGAGCTGACACACACACACACACACACTGCAAACAATCAACAATCCTTTGAAAATGTCTCCAAGAACCGCTATGACTAATAATCTCCTCAGATATATAGCAGAGGTTTAAGGTCTCCATGTCCAACATACTCCAACATCTCTAAGAATCCCTACCATTTCATTAGCCAAATAGTTTTTCTTCCGGATATAAAAATCAAAGCAACAATCGCAATTCATTTTGCTAATTAGAAACTATTTTTGCTGGTAATTTTGTGAATCACATTCGTTCGGATAATAATTTACACTGTAAATTTTTTATAACCGTCAAGGATTCGCAAGTACCTGATGGGGTCTGTGACGGAAATTGTGCTCATAAACATCATTTGCGACGTCGTTAATGTCGAATGCTTCCACTACGACAGCATTCACTGCAGCTTCAATCAGTGAATATCTCATTCCGCCAATACCACTGTAGAATTCCAGGGCTTTCCACGGGCGCTCTTCATACTCTGAGCAATTCAAACGCTTCCATTCCATAATTTTAAATCCCCAACATAGACGACCTCTAATCTTTCTGGACCCTAGATTTTTTTAGCAGATCCACTGAGAAGTTAGTACTTCAAATTTATTAGAGTAAATCACCCCATCATTTTACATATTTAATCCCTAATTTAGTCTCCAATTATTATATTCATTTTCATTAATGGTCTTTTGTTAACATTTCCATTAACAACGTCAATAAAATTATAAATTCACATTCCTTTCTCTCCTCAATTAAACTTTCTCCCTCCCCTCACACTCCTTTTCCAAACCCGTCGTTGATTTTGAAGCTTTGAACCCAAAACCGAAATCATCGTACTTCTCTCAATTGTTTGTCTAGGTGGAATCCAAATTCAAACCAGTAACCTTCAGGAATGAGTTTTAATGTTTATTTTATTTGCAATTTCTTGAGACTAACTGAAAAAACTCATTCATAAAGTTTATTGGTTTTGATTTTAGGTACCACCAGAAAGACTAATAATTGAGAGATGAATGATCATTTCAGTTTTGGGTTTAGAGCTTCAAACTCAGCAACGAGTTTGGAAAAGAGTACGAGCGGAGAAAGGAAGCTTAATTGAGGAGAGAGAAGTATTGATATAAAATTTTTATTCATGTTCTTAACAAAAACGTTAACAAAGGACCATTAATAAAAAATGATATAATAATTGGAGACTAAATTAATAATACAAGTATTTAATATATAGGGGTAAACTACCTAACCTTAATAATTTACTCAATAATAAAAGAACCCAAACGGGTTGTACGGGACTCCAAAGTCATCACCTCTTTTTTCTTCTTCCGGAAGAAAGGTTTCCTGGATCAGTGGATCCTGCTTCGCACTTCATATCATCCCTTCACCTCGAATCATCTGCATCTGTCAAGCACTTCAAAACACAAAACAAAAAATCATTCTGAATTCTTTCCCCAATAGAATGGAGGGCGAGGATGAGATCAAGCAGAAACTGCAAGAATTGCAGAAACAGTTAGGTAAAAAGCAATCGTTCGAGGAAGCGGTTTCCAAAGTCAGATCTCTGCTGTGTCAATATTACCCGTCTGCTTCCCCTTCTCTCAGAACATCGGTCTGTTTCTATCCTTATGTCGATTCAATTGCATTTCTTGATTTTACTGTGAGGAATTGCAGTCCCTTGACATTTAAATCGTCCTGTTTGGGTTTTGAGGGTTGGTTGAGTGTAAGGTGATTTTCTTTCTTACACGTAAGTACACTTTTCATTTACCATAAGTTGGGGGTTGTGCTTTTTAACGGATGTTGCTATGCTGTAGGGATGTATATTTAGTCAGAAAATCGTGATAGTAGATCAATAGGGATGAAAAAGGGACCTAATCGGTCTTTCTTAGGCTACAAATCTCATGAAAGCTCCTTAAAGCCTTCTTGCTGTAGTTACTACTATGTATAAATTGTGATAGGAAAATGATTCCTCTTGTTTTTTATTAATGAATATTGAAGGTGATTTGTTGTTCCAACCTTTTCTTGCTGAGAACATCTTTGCGTTGTTATTGTATTACATAGGCATGTCTAATGACCTCCCATACCATGATACACATTACAATATGAACAAAATGACATAATTTTACTCCGTTTCAGTATTCCAACAAAATAGTCACATGCTTGTATCAGAAATGGAAAAGTTTTGGGTGTGGCATAACTTATGAACACCCTCGTTGTTTTTTTAGACGATGACCTTAGGTGTTGTTGGAATCCTGTTTAGGTTTATATCGTGTAATATGTATTGTGAAATGTGAATCACGTCGTCCCTATTTACAGAAAGGTTTCCTACTCTCATTGAGTTTAAAATCAATAGTACTCTATATACAAGCATTATATTAGTCTATTAATCTTTAGGAATCAATGAATTAAATTTTAACTAGTAAGTTATGACGTTTAGATTAACAGGAGCTATATTATTCAATAATTGGTACTTCTAAGTATATCCTACAATTAGTGCATTCAATGTTTATCATTTACTTATTATTTCAATATGTTTCATTTTGTAATTTTAAGAACTATAGTTTACATACAATACTGCATCGGTAATGCACACAAAAATAAGTTGATAGGTTTATTTCCATGTTTGAATACGTCTTAAAGTTATTGGGTTGATCATTACAACCTCTCCCCTGTTTTCTTTTACTTTTTCATGACTCCTAGTTTCTCTTACTCCTCTTTCTGTTTTCCTTGTATTTTTGCACATATTTTGATTTCTTTTCCACTTTCCCCATTTTTTTCATCAACAATTTACCTCCAATGTTGGCTTGAGTAGATTAAAATAAGGAGAAACTCAAGAGAGAATGACGGGATTAAAACATGTGAATGACAGTAATGACACACAAGGCCCCAATTTTTAGTGGGTCTCAATTTTTTATGGTCAATTAATATATAAATCTATTTGATTTGTTTCAATGTCTAAGAAATGAGAATGTAAATTCTCAAAACTATTATGGAAGAGTTGAATTTAAAGATTTCTATCTATGTATTGTTGAGGATTTTATTCCAAAATATTAGAATAATAACATTTCTAAAGTAAAAGATACTATAGTATATTTTTTAAAAGTTTAGTTGGTGGAAAGTTTGTATAATCATGGTATGTTTTTTTAAATAGAAATATCTTCTTGCATATCATTGATTATTACTCCCTCCGTCCCCCATAGATCTTCTCATTGCGCGTTATGAGGCTTGATCGACTTTAAACATAATTTTATTTCGGTAATGATATTTTGTCATGCATGCATGCATGCATGCATGCATGCATGTATGTATGGATGTATGTATGTATGTATGTATGCATGCATGTATGCATGCATGCATGCATGCATGCATGCATGCTAGGTTGCACGGGTTCGGCAGATTTGTGCCGGCTCGCGTGCCGGAATCGAAGCGGGGGCGCAATCGCCGGCGGGGACGACAATTGGCGAACCGGAAATGTCTAGGTTGTGATGGATTCGTTGGCGTCTTCGACAGGGACGGATCCGGAAATTGAGGACGCTCCTGGTATGGTGCGGCAAAAACGACAGCCGTTTAATTTTTTTTATTATAGTTTTGACCAACTAGAAACTTCTTTAATACTCTATATAAATGAGGGATCTGATTTTACCTGATCTGATTGCCGGAGAACTCCAAATCTTCTAGCAAACCTTCCAGCAAAACCCGATCTGATGACCCGATCCGATTGTCTAGTTGAGCTTCAATTTTTTTTGTTTTCTATCCTTTGTTTTTGACGGCCACAATTATTTGGCCGGGTTTGGTTCCATTAGATTATACAATTATTTTCTTTGTAGACTTGTAGAGTATTTGGGTCTATATTTGGGTCTAGGTACAATTATTTGGGTCTGGTTTTTGACAACTACAATTCTTCACAAGCAAAGTTTGGATTTTTGGAGTAGTGATGTTCTTAGTTGAGAATTTCAAAAATTAAGTTTATTAGTTATTTATTTATTTATTTTTCCAAACATGATAGGTTTGAATGTTTGGTATTACAAGTATTCCGTTTTACTTTTTATTCTAATTAAGTACGTCATTCGATTATTTTATTCTATTTAATTAGAGTATTATGTTTAACATTTACATGCCTATATTTAATATTTTTATTACTTTTTGTTGCCGAATCCTTGCCGTCCCTGCATCCTGAAATTTTTAAAAATGCCGTTTTCTGAATCTGTCCCCGTCCCCGTATATGTACTCGCACCCGTCCCAGTGTAACCTAGTATGTATTCCGTATGTATGTATGTATATAGTTATCTTGGATGAATGAAGATATATATTGTTGGGATTTTAAGCGCGTAAGACTCTTAAAATATCAAGAACGTGAAAAATAAATAAACACACTACACAAGAAAAAAATATGAGAGAAATTATATCTTCACTATTTTAGAACGATACACAAAAAACTCTCCCTGTTTACAAGCGCTAAATACCAGACACTTATAAACAGACTTTTCACACCCTACACCCGGATGTATTTTTCCGAGTAACTAGATAATAGCTACTCCCTACACTCACTCGCACAATGTTGGTGATATCTTGTGTAGCACCTCTCTCTTTAACCCTCCTTATTTTTTTCTTCCCACTCAACCGTGTTGTTCCATGGCTTTTAAATAGCCAAAAACATAATAGTGGGGAATATTCTAGTTGACACCTCCAAGAGGAAGAGAACAAAACTCCTAAAGCTAAGGCTCACTTCTTGGTTGTTTCCACCAAGCTACATTTATTTTTTTTCTTTTTTTTGTTTCAATTATTTAATCAAAAATATCTCAACATATTTAATGTTAAAAAGTTCAATACTAATTGTGACTAGTCAACTAGTCCACTAGTCTCCCCTTCACCGACTCGACTTGACTTGTCGACTTAACAACCATGCATTTTACTAACAGGTACTTGTTGCTTCCCTCTTTGCCTAACATTGGAAAATGCTTGCAGTTCTATTCTGTCGTGTGTCGTGCTGCAACAATTTTAAGGACAAGATATACATCACCTGGGTTTTGGCATGCTGGATTACAACTTTTCCTTGATGCTGAAAACCTTATGTCAGAGTTTTCTGAGAAGAAACATTTGCAGGACTGCATTGCTCAATCACGAAATCACCTTGGCGAAGTGGCGAATCAGCCTGATAACTCAGCATCTGTAGACAATCGGCCGAGAGGTGGATATACACCATTGTTTACTTTATTATTGATGATTATTTTCGAGTACAATAGCATCTTTCAATCTGGTTCCCTTTGAGGTTCTAATATTTTGGGATTTTTAGGTGGTTCTGTGCCACCATTATGCTTCATTAATTCTGAAGTTCTATCAATATTTTCAGGATTTCTATTTGAGGGTCATCTAACTGTTGATCCTGAGCCTCCACAACCTGATTGGCTTGTAATGTCAAACCTTCTGAGTGCTTCGGTGACATTGTCTAATGGACAGTCTTCTGAAGAGCATGCAGCCAACAGTAACACGTCAGATGATTCTATTGTAACCAACCTACTTCAGCAACTGGCTGATAGACATGAGGACATTATCCCAATGGTATGTTGCACCTTACCTTTTTTAAGCACTGATATTTATCAAAATGCTTCAAAACATTCTATCCAATATTTGAGAACTTGCTTTGTATCAATGAAATGTCACTATGGTTCTATCCTTCCTATGTGGATTTCTGCATGTAAGGTTTCAAACCATGACATTGCAAAATGAGAATCTGGTCACAATTTTTTTTCTTTATTTGGTATTTGTGTTGCCAGTACTTTATTATCAAACATAAAGATGCACATGTTGCACACACTTGCAGACTGCAATCCCAAAAAGAAGACAATTGTATAATCATTTTTGTGGTTAGTACTTAATAATGCATTCCTAAGCAGAAGCGTTCAATGCATTTCAAGAGGAAAAAACATGTTTGTTAGTGACAATTTTATTAACTACATAGGCCTAGCATTTTCCTCCACATCATGGATTCATGGGTTGAAATAATTTGATAGAAAAAAGGGAAGCAAAGAGAGAGATTCGATAGAAAGGCTTCATTTCAGATGACAATACAGATGCATTTCTTCTCTGACACCAGTATTATACTTTTCTACTTTTCTTCAGATTTTGGATGATGCACCTGTTGTCCCTAGAGCACCTCCTGCTAGTAAAGAGGTTGTGGCAAAGCTTCCAGTTACTATCGTTACAGACGAATTTTTAGCAAAGCTTGATGCTAATGCTGAATGTGCCATCTGCAAGGACAATTTGGTTCCAAATGATATGATGCAAGAATTGCCTTGCAAGCATATGTTTCACCCTCATTGTTTGAAACCCTGGTTGGTAAGGATATTTCCTTTTTAGAGCTAATAAAGCCCCGGTTAGTAAGGATATTTCCTTTTTTTAAAGCCAAGTAGTGTAATCTAGGAGATAAAACTTCCAAATTTTTATACGCGTAAGATTTCCAAATGTTTATGCCTGCATTTATTTTTTCACTGCATTTCACTTTTTCTTCTTCTTAAATGTTGATTTATGTTTTATAGGATGAGCACAATTCTTGCCCGATATGCCGTCATGAGTTGCAAACTGATGATCATAAATATGAAAGTTGGAAGGAAAGGGAAAAGGAAGCAGAGGAAGAGAGGAAAGGAGCTGCAAATGCTGTTCGCGAGGGTGAATATATGTATGTGTAGATTTAAAATATTTGGCTCTAAATCTGTAATGTACGTTATGTTATTTTGCTGTTATGCTAAACCTTTCAAAATGAACCTTGTATGTGTTGATACACAACAATAAAAAAACCCACTATATTCCTTGTGTTGATGCATTACTAGATTCATGCTCGTGCGTTGCACGGCAAGAAATTTTTTCCTGAATAAAAATTAAAAAAATATTTAATTATAAATAAATATAAGTGAATGCCATGGAGTATAATATAAGATTCAAATAGAATCAAATATTGTATTGCACCACTAAATAAAAATGAATAAATTACTTCATTCATTCTTAAATAATTTGTTTTTATCTCATTCAATATTTACAGAATAAACTAAATCTATTTTTTTTCAAATATTTTCATCTATGATTCATTATATTCAGGTCACATCTTATTTTGTAATTTTTTTATGAAGTCTTTAGATACATAATTCTAATTTTTTAATTCAACACACATCACTATTTAAATACATCCCATCAAAAAAGTTTCTATCACACATCATAAATTGAAAAGACCAAAAAAATAAAGGGATATAGGTTTACATGAGAATTGTGAATCAATGAGTTGTGCTTTCATTATCATAAAGTTCACATGAGAATTGTTGGTCTTCTCACATTTTTGATGGGCCGACTTGAGAATCTTTAATTGTTTTTCAAATAGCTCAATTCATCTATGATATTTGTATCCTAAGATCCATAAATTGAGTGTGTATCTTAGAACTACGGAAGAGATCAATAAATGCTTTAGAATGAGAGGTCACGTATAAAATTTTAGTAGAAGCAATGACTCTATGTGTTTTAATAGAGATATCCTCAATTTTCTGATAAGACCTCTCAGATCCCATACTATCTGAAATGAACTTTGAGATCCTTATAATTTGTGGTAATGAACTTTGAGACTACATTCTATCTATCTGGCTTTAGACTTGAAAGTTCCGTTATTTTAATAAATACTAAATTTTACCTTTATAATCATTATTTTATTAAATTTTAATAAAACTTTCAATTTGTGAAGGTAACACAACTTTCAATTATAACATCTAAATAGACGAAATGTACCCTCGAAGTATAAAAGCATAAATTTCAAGGACCTTAGAATTTATTTTAAATGATGTGGGGATTGACAAATCTTGAAAAAATTGAAGACTATGCGACATATATTTTAGATAATGTAAACTTGAGAGTTCTAACCTGAAAATTAAAGATATCGTGGAGTAATTTTCCACAAAATTATTTATTATCTAAATCTAACTTTCTTCAAAGTAGAAAATTTTTATAAGAGGTTCTTTACTCATTCCTCTCACTTTCTCCTCTTTCCCTTTTTGTTTATGTCGACATCACTTTCTCCTTTAAAGTTTCCTACACTTCTCCTCTACACTTCTCCTCTTTTTAATGGTGGGCCCTGAACTCATAAATCTATTTATTTTTTTTTAAGAAATAAAAATTCTTCATAGTTTATAATAAGTTTAAAAATAATAGTTTTAAAAAAATCGTATCATTATAAAAATGTTGGGATTTTAAGCGTGTAAGATACCGAAATATATTAGGAACACCAGAAAAATGAGAGAACAAACACAAGAAGGATATATGAGAGAAAAAAATTATATTTCCACTATTTCTGGACAATATACAAAAACACTCTCCCTGTTTACAAGGATAAATTCCCGACACTCATAAATAGATATTTCCACATGTCCGGATGTATTTTTCCGAGTAACTAAAACCACTTACTCCCTACACTCACCCACAGTCACCAAGACCCCTTGGATTTTCCCGGTGGTATTCTTGTGCAGAATTCTTCTCATTTTCTATCTCTACCTTGGTAGTGTGTAAAACCCACACACACACAGAGAACTCTTCACATGGCTAGTTAAATAGGCAACAAAGGAGCATATGAACAAAGGAATAAAAGACAATCAAGAAATGGCCGACACCTAGCATTCAATGCATCCATCCCATTTTTCCTTTGTTATCTTCTCTTTGTTTTCCATCTTTTCATGTCCTTATTTTTTTTCTTTCTTTTTGAATATTTAATCAATATTTCTAACAAACTCCACCTTGATTAAATAATTAAAACCATTATAGTTCCACCTCACTTGTCCCATGAGATCAACGATATTCCAAAAGAAAAAAAATCTCCTTGGCCCCACCTCGATTTTGCTCCATCGAGATCACTGTACTGCCGCCATGAAAATTTTCCAATGATTCTATCTTGCTCAATACCGCAAGATTTTCGCCACCCTTTTTTTGTCTCCATGGCTCCACCTTGTTCAATACCACAAGGTCTCTGCCACTTCCAGTCGCCGTTGTACTCGTGACTCCATCTCAACCAACCCGTCAAGATCACCGCCACTACCTTAGCTCATTAGAGTTTTAACCCTCCACCTCGAGCAAAAAAAATGACAACCCACCTTTGTTAACACTCTCTGAGACCACCCCTCTAGCAATTAGCTTCATTCGATCTGCCCATCTTGCACCACCGCAGCAACACCTACGGGACACGCCGCCAGACCTCTTCTTGCCGGGAAGACTTTCGACACAAGACATAAGTTGAAGTTTTTCACTCTGCTAGACCACCGATCTCCTCAAGTCCCGCTCCCGCACCATACTTCACAAAGCCAGCATGCCGCTTCGTACCCGGTCCCCATGCCCTCCACTTTGTTCCTAAAGTCCCATGGTCGCTTCTGGCCAAAACCGACCAGTCCCTGAGTTCTCAAAATTTCTCCTTTTATTGCTTACAAATCCCTCCTGCCCAGCGGAACCAAGCTCTGATACCAATTGTTGGGATTTTAAGCGCGTAAGATACCGAAAAATATTAAGAACACCAGAAAAATGAGAGAACAAACACAAGAAGGATATATGAGAGAAAAAAATTATATTTCTACTATTTCAGGACAATATACAAAAACTCTCTCCCTGTTTACAAGGCTAAATTTCCGACACTCATAAACAGATCTTTCCACATCCTATGCCCGGATGTATTTTTCCGAGTAACTAAAACCAGTTACTCCCTACACTCACCCACACTCACCAAGATCCCTTGAATTTTCCCGGTGGTATTCTTGTGCAGAATTCTTCTCATTTTTTCTCTCTAACTTGGTGGTGAGTAAAACCCACACAGAGAGAGAACTCTTCACATGGCTAGTTAAATAGGCAACAAAGGAGCATATGAACAAAGGAATAAAAGACAATCAATAAATGGCTGACACCTAGCATTCAATGCATCCTCCCACATTCAATGCATCCATCCCATTTTTCCTTTGTTATCTTTTCTTTGTTTTCCATCTTTTCATTTCCTTACTTTTTTCTTTCTTTTTGAATATGTAATCAATATTCCTAACAAAAAAACCTAATTCTTTTTCTTTTTTTCCTCTTTCTCTTCTTTTCCCTCTTTTTTCTTCTGTTATCTTTGCCTTTCTTTCTTCTCTTTTTCCTTTCTGTTTTTCTCTCTTCTTTTCTACATTTCTCCCCACTTTTTTTCCTCTTTACTTTAATCATTCTTCCCACTCCTCCTTTTTCATATCATCATTTCTCAACAATTTCCCTCACAATAAAGTTACTTTAAGATGAAGATAATGATTTTTAAAGAAAATTAGCTAAATTTTATGTTTTTTTAATGTTGCCCAATCTTTGATATCTTGATGTATTAAGTCACAATTACTTCTGTCGACTTCAACAAACCCTACTACAATCATCATCCGTCCATAAGATCCTTTCTACGAAGTATATTCATATTTTCGTTCCTAAAGTGAGAGGGAATGAGCAACGACCTGGGTTGGGTATTTAGACAAAGATAAGCAGCTAAAGTTCATGTTTACTTGTGAGTGAGCGACATCTAGGGGTTAGGACGAAGATCATTGCCTTCCGCAAGCCAATTTGGGTTCGATAGGCTTTCTTGGAAACGAAGAACATAAGTTCGACAAATGTAAGGATTTTTAAACCCAAAATCGAGGTTAAATTTTTATTCTCTCCGTTTTACGATCTAGGATTTAGGATTAGTTTGGTAGATTCGCACATTTAATTTGTTTCAGTTCTGAGAGAGTCAAAATATTTTCTAAAAAACATTTATGCCTAAAGTATTCCTTTGTACATTTTAAATTTTGTTGATTGAACGCCATAAATTAAAATTTAAGTTTTGCTTAATGTCTCTTCTTTTGATTAACTTGTGATATACTCCTTAAAAATGTGAAGGTACAAAATTATAGGGAGAATTTTTTTTGTTATATTTGTGTAAAGGGAAAACTTTTCTAATGGGTCTTTTAAATATAAGCTCAATCTTCTTTGGAATATATTCACAATGAGCTTATCTTAAATGGGTTCTCTTGTATTTGTTGCTTGTTTCTATGTACAAAAACCAACTCAAAGATTTCCAGCTCTCTAAACTCATCACTTATTAGAAATAATGTTTTCAAGTTCTAAAGGAGAAAACAAATTGATTCATTTGAAATACAGAGTATACCCAGGTTATATATGGGTATTTGGGTGGTCTTCTTTTTCCAAACTCGTCACGGAGGTTTGCACCTTCTAATTTTGTATTGTTCCCATATAATTTTGATTAGACTCTACAATATACTTAGGGGCCAGCCGTTTTGGCACGACTTTATAGTAGTTTATGCTGCACCGCACTACGAAAGAATGGCCAAAGTCAACTTGGAGGGTGCTTCCTTCTAATTCAATTATGAGCTTGGTCACGCATGTTGCTGATCCAACCCGAGGAGAACCGGGCTAATTTTTCCATGGACCTCCCATGAATGACGAACCTCACAGTCCTAGGTATTAATATCTACAATAATATTATTTTATGTTTAAAGGTGGACGAAAACCATACTTTTACATAAAAAGCGTATTTGTAGGTTTAGATATACCAATTTAAGTTTACTCTAGCATTGCCTGACAAAGTGTTCGTTACTTCCGAGACTTGTTTCATGGTTTATTACACCATCATTTATGATATACTCTGTATTTTACATATAATGAATTTTAGAAATTTTTCGTGTAATCTTTTTTTTGAATATAATGAATATTAGAATATTTACTGTAATCTTTGCATCATTACAATGTTTGATTACAATGTAGGTGGTTTAGGAACTGTATATCATTCACAATCTTCTGGCTTATTGTAAGGAGGGGCAAGCCCTTTTGTCGTGCAAGGGTGTAATCATTTAGCGATTGCATGTGGATCCCATGATGCCAAAGAGGTTTGCGCGATAATTTGGGAAACTGTAAGTTATACCCAAACTCCTATTTTTGTATGAGGCAAATGATCATCGGCCCTCCGACACTAGTTCCCTTAATTCATTTACTGAATGCGTTTGTGTATGGAGAGACAATCATCTAAACCATGTTGTCCTAAGCGAGATGGTCCCTTGAAACTCCCCACTCAATGTTGGAGAGGATTTAGCAGTCAGTTATGGAGATTGGTTTACTTTTTTTTAGTCGTTGTTTGATACGCAATCCCGCACACCACCACGAGTGTAACACCAAAAGCTCTACGGTTGCACTTATTTTCGCAGTGCGTAAACTTAAAATTCACATTTTCAATTTGATAATGTTACGTCTTACATTACTTATTTTAATGTTTTAGGTAAGAACTCTGATTATAATGAGAGACCGTCTTGATAAGAGTCGTATGGACCCAGACATTATGTTAGCGACTATCCAAATTACAGGGACATCATCAATAACAGATTAGATAAACGTGCTCGTAATGAACACCTGGTGGGCGTGAAATTACCAATTGGTGGTGAAGATCAGGAAGATAACGATGAAGATGCCAATCAAGAAGTTGATGACTCCTCTGCAGCTGGACGAGCAACGCAGGAGGATTTTTTGGGGGGATCTTTCCAACAACTTTACACTTTTACTCACTTTGCAGGGACTTCCAATGCCTACACAAGTTCATCTAACCCAGATGGTTTGCATAATTTTATAAATATGTTTCAGGATAGTTGGTTTTGTGATAATGTTTGATTTTTATGTGATGCGCCTTATGCAAGTATTTGTATTTTCTTTTATTTATATACTCTGTTCTATTTATTTATTACATTATATTACGTTGTTTGACTTATATTGTAGATTTATGTACTCTGTTCTATTTATTATTTTATGTTTTATACTTCCTTTGTCAATTTAAATTTCATATAATTACATCTATTCTAAATATATATTAGGGCGGTGAGATAGTTCAATCTAATGGAGACTTTTCATACATGAGAGAGTATAAAAAACTTTAATGGTCAATATGAGTTTGCCATGGGATTCAATTCGAGAACAAATTGAATCTCATTTTATTGCACACGGTAATGGCCTCGTCTAAAAAATATCCGGCAAACTTACATGGTTGGTAATGCGTGTTATACTAGATTGACAGATATCAATAGTAATATATCATGGGATTTATTCTTCGATAAAGCACGAGGATTAAGTTTGTTGGAGATATATGTGTCCGACAATACGTGTAGAGATGATTTTGGTCCATCACGTCTTCCTCATCGATCGCTTCGCTCAGGTTTCATTGCAGATAACCCCATTGATGATCCCAAACTTATAAACTTTTCTTTTATCAATAAAATTATTTGTTATAGTTTATTTTGAATTGTTTGATATCATGGCTTTTTGTGGCTAAATTAATATTAGGTATGAATTGAATTAAGGTTATGGGCTAATATAATTAATTAAAATTAAATTAGCAACTTGATTAATTGGATTATTTATCTAAAATGAGATTAAATAATTAATAGATCTGGCCAATTTATTAATGAATTCTTGGAGATTATTAGTCCGACTTGTCTACGAGTTAGGAAAATAATCTAGCCAAACATGTTTAGACACATTAATGAGACCTAGAAATAGGATAAGTTAATAAATTAAAATCTATTTAATCAAGAAGCTAATTTAATCTAGGTTATTACCTTTGCCCATGTACTTGGTCAATTCAAACCTGTCTCTAAATCATCGATTAAATTAATTTCATTATTGCTATCGTTTTGCTTGAGTTTTGATTGTTCTAATTTTGATTTCTAAGGCTATATTTAATAATTTTCATTATTAAATCATTGATTAAATTAATTTCATTATTGCTATCATTTTAAATTTTTGTTAAAATATCAGGTTAATTAACAAATACTTCCCTTTGCCAATCCTTGTGAGACGACCTGAGTCATTCTCGATTAATTTATTGACTTACCGCTATATTTAGTTTCATCACAAGCTCGTGGTTTGAAAGGTTATTCGTTCTCTGCAAGCATGTATCATTTCAGGTAGGTATGTTGGAATTATCAACGCTTATAGAGATCTTCTTGAACTTCAAACAGGAAGAATAAAAGCGCTTTTTTGCCTACACCACATCCGTGATCCGTATCCATAGCAACTTCATGATAAAATTCTGTAACTCAGATTTCAAGTGTCTAGTTTGAGCCGTTAGGAGCACATTTAATGTCTAAGAATTTCACAGATATATGGGAGAAATATGGAATCCCAATGAAGAGGCATATCTCTCTTTGAATGATATCCCATGTGAAGCGTGGGCTTTGTCTTATGATGTTGGTTTTAGATGTGGGATTCTGAGCACCAATGGTTCAAAAAGGTTTAACAATATGTTTAAGGATTGTCACATGCTATCGGTCACTGTGTATGTTTTATAGAAAAGTGGTTGAACCTTTCGTAAAAAGGTACTCAAGTGTTCTAGATTGGTAACAAAAAGACTTTCGTATCACTCCAAAAATTGTGAACATCTTACGAAGTCGTGAGCGAACAAAACAAAAGTAGGTTGTTGCAAACTATGGTAACAACCAATATGTTGCTAACCATGGTAACAACCAATATTTAGGGAATAGAGTTTGCACTTGTGGCTGATGGTCTTTCGATACAGTCTCATGTGTTCATGTTCATGTTATTTTTCATTATAAGCGTCAAGTTACTGACGGTGTCATCCCACTTGTATACTCTGTTCAAAGTTATTTACAGTGTTATAGTGGAGTGATTCAACTAGTTATTTTTCAACCTAATTTAGAAATTGGTAACTTTCGTGTCGAACTGCCAATAAGACCAGAAGAGAGATTTCACGTTCAAGAAGGCATAAGCGTAGTCGATACATTAGCGGGATGGATTGAAGAACGGCTAGAGAATGAATGTATACATCTAGTAGAATGAAAGAGCTTCTTGATCGTTTAAAATAAGTAACGAACCCACCCATGAGTCCATGACGCACCACTCATTCTGCAAATTAGGTAATAGATTTATATAATTTAATAAAATAGGAATTCTAAATCTCAAAATAAGAGAAAAAATAAAACAAAAATGATGGGGGAACCTCAAGCATTTGATACCAAATGCACATCAAGGCAATACAAATACAGTCATACACAGATATTAAATATTTGGATGTGTGTACTGCCTTAATATGCATTGGGAGAAAGATCAAACTAGGACTAAAACATTGAGAATATACCAAAATAGGACTTCTATGTTTTTATTCACGAAATAGGACTTACATTACCAAACATGGTCATATACATTACTAAAAAAATATAGTAATTTGGGGTCAAAATTTGGGGTCTGCTAGCACTCCTCAATATAAAAATAAAAAGAACAATGCTAGGATTACACCAAAAGGTGTACCCCAAATGTACATCACCCCCTTCTCTATCAAATATTTTTATTTACTTATTTTTTTAAATTTTTTTGCCATGGACAAGGAGGGGATAGAGACATATGGAGTACCCCGATCATTTTTCAAATAAAAAAATCAGTCGGTATTTCAAATGCCCATCATCCCAGGAATTTCAAGCAAAAACCTCTGGCGTAATTTCTCCCACGAAATGGTGTCTGACTATCTCATTTGGATGTTGAGTTGAAGTAAACGGCGTAGGAAGAGTGGAAGTGGTTAATATCAAACGGTGTTCCAGGCTATCTGTGTATACCTCATCTTCATTCGAAGGGCTCCAGTCTCATTCTTTGAACATGCGCTCTTCTTCTGCAAGCACTGTAGTAACTGAGTCGAGGGCAGAATCTCGACCCATTGGCCCTTTTTCCGGGCTTATCATCTGTGTAACTGGTTTGTCAAAAGGTATGCTAGAATAGATGCTATTGAACTTTGTGTCTGATACAATAGTGTGTATGGTTAAGATGGGATGACCTGTTATGTTTTTTGATTAGACAGTTTTTATGGGTTATCTAATTCAGATTACACTAATTCCTTGGTGTAATCTGATTAATTTGTTTATTGATTATATGCTCTTGCTTTAAATTGTTTATTGGCAGAAGCCAGGATGCAAGTGATGAAAGCAACAGAGAAGTTGGGTGGGACATATAGCCCACAATTGCATCCCCGTTGCACCCATTTGGTGGTTCAAATATCCTTTTTTTCCCCTATTGTGCACTTCCCTTTTTCTGGGCTTGAAATTGAAGGCATTTTGATTTCTATGTGAAATGGTACAACATAGTATTTTCCCTTTTCTGGCTCTCTGCTTTTCCATGCACTGCGTGTGTGTGTGTGTTCAGTAATATTTCTTATAGATGTTGATTTAAGAACAAATGGTGGGTAATCATCATTAATAAAGAAGATATTAGAGTAGCAGTTTGTTACAGAGAGGTGTGTGTATGTACTTGGAAAGTTTCCACTTTACCTGTTCTTTTGTTAACATCTTAGTGCTTGTACATTCATGCTTCCTTAATGCAAGTCACAGATTTCATGGCCCCAAATTGGAGCATGCCCTGAAACATGGATCCAAAAATGGTCTTTCGATTGTTAGCTTGGGTTGGTTTGTGGATAGTGTGAAAAATAAAGGTAGGAGTGTAAGACATTTTATTTATCTTGCATCTCATTTCAATTTCGAGTATACGATATGATGAAGGGTTATGCTACATGTACAAAATCAGTGATGACGAGTCTGACAAACTGGACACGTGGCAGCATCCTACCTTTCAACATATCAGCATATCACATCATATTCTCATCAATGATCTTTACACTATCCACCTCATTTGTTTCTCAGCTTGTTATCAAAAATTTTCATAAAACATTTTCCACAATGAATAGGCTGGTGCACATATTTGTCTGGGTTAACTTTTGTTTAGCTTGTTGGTATCATTTTGGCTCAGTCGGCTACTTAATGAACTGATCCCCATTTGCAATATGTTTTTCTTTTCCTTTTGCACATTTAATCCACGGGGTCCCCATCATTGACGGAAACAATATAGTAACAAGTTGCAGTAGTCCTATTAAATTACATGAAAAATTTTCTTGTACGATGTAATACATAAAATTAGAATACAATTCTATAATTTTACGTTAACTTAATTGTTAAAAAACTATTCAAATTTAGCTGTCCAAGTTTTATGAGGTCTGTGTAGGTGTACATGTTATTATTTGGCTGCATACAGCCTAAATTAATGTGGGCCTGCCTCTATTTCTGCAGTGGTTATGAGGCTGCCTTGTTAATCTTTATCTTTCCTGTCATCATTTGATGAATGTTTTATGCTACTTTTATGCGCAGCAAGGTTGAGTGAATCACTTTATGGTGTCAAAGTTGCTGAAGAAGGTGTTTCTTTTGATGTTTTCAACCGACTTGGCCACAATGGTGACTCTCAAACTTCTTGTATTCCTATGGGAACAATTGAGCATCTAAGAAAACTGAACTTGATTGAAGAGCCACAACCAAATGCTTTGGATAGAGAAAGTGTGAAAAGAACAATAATATCTCCTTTGTCTGGTTATTCCTTGTATGTAGATGTTGATGTGTCTGATGAACTGCGTTGTAAGGTATACCTTTTTTAATGATGCATTTAAATTTATGGTTGATCAAATGGGTTTGTTTAGGATTGAGGCTCATTTTTGTTGTTGCATGTGTGTATGTTTATGGACCTAAAATCTTTTGACATCCGTACCTCTTATGTTAGTTTGATACTAGGTGCATTTTATTACAACCTACGATGTCAATCTGTTAAAGTAATTAAAAAGCATCTAAACTCATGCTATTTAGAGCTTAATGCCTCTAAATCAGATAAATAATGTTTCAGGAGTTGCATTTGAGCATTTCTCTCAGACAATTTGTTTTTACACTTAGGTTGTTGAGGTTGCTTCTGCACAAGGTGCAGCTTTGGTTGATCAATGGTTTGTTGGTTGTGGCGCAAGTCATATAGTGTGTGAGGGAAGTTCTGTTCAGAAATATCTTGGTCATTCTGCAAATATTGTTACTGTAAGTGCCTTTCCTCTACATGTTCCCTATTCTTATAATATAACTAGTCTCTTTTATGAGTTTTACCTTCTCTGTAATGTAACATTTGTCTGCAGTGACTTCCTTCTGTTCCATTTTCTCCATCTAATATGATCTGCAACTTTCTCTTCGTCGTTCAGCCATTATGGGTTTTAAAGACTGTAAAGGAAAAGCAACTGCAAAAGCTTGTCCACATATCTGCTGATCTAGCTAAGCAAACTGGAATATTGATGGAGAGTATTCAATCTCGCATTCATAAAGAGGTATGTTTTGTTTTGCTTTTACTCATAGCAGGATTTTACCCGTGCATTGCACAGGGTGATGGTTTGATATTTTATAAATAAAAGTTAATCTTCATTAATATATGCTCCCCCCCCCCCAAAGGTTTCCTTTGTTACTATTCCGGGCTCTCAATAGCTTTTGTTATTTATGTGTTTTCATTGATTATTGAAAAAATTATCTCAAATAATCCCACCTTTTTGCGCTCTTTCAAAAATAGTCCCACTTCTCACTGTCACCAGAAATAATCCCACCTTTCCGCATGTGTGCGAGTTTTCAGTCGTCGTTAAAAAAACTAAAGGTCGCTTAACGGAATTTTTGAAAAATGCCTGATTTTCGCAAATAAATGTAAGGTGATATTATTATAGGTAAATTCTTTTTTTTTTTTCGTTTTTTTAATTTCTAACTTTAAGTTAAAATGTATTTTTTAATTTTTTTTATAAATAATACCAAATTTAAGTGTTTTTTAGAGAACTAATTATTTTAATTTTTCAATATATAATCAATAATCTGGTAATAATTAAACAATAAATTTTTCTACACAATAGAGCTAATTTATTACTTCATAACTCACTACATTTTTGTTAAGTTGCAATTATTTTTCTTGAGCGGCACTTTGAATTATTTTTTGATACTATATTACTCTTATTTCTTAAAAAATGGCACTACAAAACTTGTGAATAGTTTTCGATAATTCTATATAAATATTTTTTGCAAAACAACATTACAATAGTTGTGAAAATGACATAATAATTTTTTCTCTGAAATGGAACTTTTATTTTTATAACTCACTACGTTTTTTTGTATTATAATTTTTTCATGAACAAAACTCTGAAATATTTATTGATAATCTTCTATTACCTATATTATTTTTTTCTAAAATGAAACTACTTAACTTATGATTTTTTCAATAATTCAGTACAAATTTTTCCCATAAATAGTAATTCAAAAGTTGTGAAAATGGCACAAATTTTTTCTCCAAAACGGAACTAATAAATTTTATAACCCACTACAATGTTTTTTTGTATTGCAATTTCTTTCTTAATCGATACTCTGAATTATTTTTGATAATTCAATATTAAATTTCCTTAGAACGAAAAACAAAATTTGTAAATCGTGTACTATTATATTTTTAAAAATATTAATTTAAAATTTAAAATAAAAAAATGAAAAAAGTTAATTCTCCTAAAATAATCCCACCTTTCATTTATTTGCAAAAAAACAGGCATTTTCCAAAAAATTCATTAAGTGGCCGTTAGTTTTGTAACGGCAACTCAAAACTCGCACACATGCGGAAAGGTGGGATTAATCCCAGTGATAGTGAAAAGTGGGATTATTTTTAAAAAAAACGTGAAAGGTGGGATTATTTAAGATAATATTTCCTTGATTATTTGATAAAATAAATTATTCAAGGAATTGAGGAAGAACTTTTGATGTGGTTTTGAACTTCTTGTTTTATATTAACATTTGTTTAACTTTTGATTAAATGTTAATTTCTTGTTTTATAGAACTTTTGATGTAGTTTTGAAATATGTAATTTTTTTGATTTCTATACCAATTTGTAAATAATACTCTATTCGTCTAAAATAATATTCCTGTTTTCCTTTTCGGGACGTCCTAAAAAACCTTCGTGTTTCCTTTTTGGTAAGCTTTTTGTGGCCCAACATCTTTCTCTCTGCTCTGCATCACTTTCAACCACCCATTTTCACTTTTCTTAAAGTTTGTGCCAAACCCAATCAAGAAGATTAATTTGAGACGGAGGGAGTATGATTTTAATGGGATTTTGCACGTTGTTCGAATAGTGATCTTCTTTGAAGGACGGAAGGAGTACATTGTATAAGAAAGAAATTTGACTTTGAATGTCAATGCCGCTTTTTTAACTGCATGAATGTAGCCAGAATGCTATAATACAACCAAATGGTCTAAGTTCCTCATAATCATCATATGCACATTGAACATTTTCAACTTTAGCTCATGGCTAGGGACTTGAGAACATTTGATTCCATTTAGAAATTCTAGAGAGTGAATATATTGCAACGAAGTACTGTCAGTCAGATGCAGAATCAGATCTTAAATATATCTTCATATCAGATAATTGTTGTCCAACCATGTAATTATTAAGTAAGATGCATGACGCATGAACACATAACTACCTGGAGGAAAATAGGGGTGCGGTGCAATCTGTTAATGTGTAATCATGGTTGTATCACTGAATTGTAACCTAGAAGTGTGTGCGGTGGTTGACCTTCAATGATCGACACTAAAATGCATCATTGACTACATCCCCCCTTCGAATTTGTCTTCTAAAATTGGGATTTGTTGTGTTTTTATTGGCTTTATGATGTTCTGTGCTAGTTTGTGCAGGCTCGGATTATTAGCACCTATTTTGTGCCGTGTTTTTTTTTCATATTTTTTCTTAACTCCTTTTAGATGTTAACCATCGCTTCCTAAATTTCTCTAGGAAATCAATGAGGATGTGGATCTGCATTATGATGTACCAAATTCTATATCCGCTATAAGTCATGATTTGAGACAAAAGGTTGTGAGCCTGGCTAAAGATGGAGTAAGGAAGAGGAGGGGTAAACGTATGCAGGTAGAGATTGCATATTGCCATATTGGTGGCCAAGATAGTTTATTTATGTTTTTTTGAATAAAAATATATGCTCCATTCATGGGAGATTGGATATATTTGTTGTTTCTATTTGAATTGCAGACATGTCAAACCCCTATGCGTCCAATAACACCAAACAGTCTTCTGGATTCAATCTGCTGGTCAATATGTGAGCCAACATCAACTGCCTCAATTTATATAGATTCTTCTTGTGTTGAAGACACTACACTGCATAACACATGTGTCTTCAACGACCCTAATGAGGTTGTGAAGGAATCTGAATTTTCTTTTGTGAACTTATCCCGACCACTTAAGGAAAGGTAAGAATATGGATGACTATGAGAAGTTACATGTGGTAATCTAACTTGTCTTGATATCTTGAACTAGAATTTCAGCTGGAATATTCATCTGAGCAAACCTTCTAGTACACCTATATATCTACTACAGTTTTCTTTGCACACTTGCAGGCTTAGGGTAAAATTTCAGCAGACTTACGTGTTAACACTTAACTTATAGCTCTTTTTCTCACGTGTATTCATCTATTTATTCATATGTATTCTGGTTTAATATTTATCCCCTTGACGATTTCTGCTGGTGCCATCTTCTCATTCTTAAATGGAACTAAAAGAGTCATTATTGACAATGTTTTAGGCTTAGCTCCAAGTAAATAATGGACTAAATAAAAGTGGCGCATTAGACTTCATTTGCTTCTTACTTTCCATGAACTTTTGGGTCGTAAGTGCAGCGATGCATCGAGGGTCTAAAAGGAACATCCACGTGACTTTTGGCTTACCACGTCTCCTGTACATTTCTCCAGCATCCTAAAATTATATTATAAAATTATATTATCCGTACTGATGCTTTTCCTTTTATTTGATGTGCCTGAACCAATGAAAACGGTTCTCCTGTATAACCCTACCTTAGTCTTTGAAAGCCGCTACACCTACTTTCATGGGTCCAAAGCATTATCCATTTCTTCAAACATCTCCCTTGCCAACTGTATTTGACAAGTTTCCATTTCCTATCTTCACAATAAGTTTCCATTTCCTACCACACACTATCAATAACCCAACTTTTCTCGTAGGATAATTGACCAACAATTTCACGATCACAATTGATGTTGAAATCTTCGACAAGATTTTCTCGTTCATCATCACTGTTCACCTCCCCTTTTTGTGTCTATGTTTTTTTCCCGATCATTCTTTAGTTTTCAGCAAAGTCACTTCAGGTGACCTTTCTTCTTGCAATAACGGCACTCGATGTTTGCATATTTGTTTGATGTTTTCAGCAAAGTCACTTCAGGTGACCATTGCAAATGAACTCACATTCCCTTGACCTTTTTTTTTAGCGCCAACACCTAAAGGACCACGAGCTGCTGGGTATGGACTTCCAGATGAGCAATCGTGTTAACGGGCCACAAGTCGTTGGTTACATACTCCATACGGACAACTGGGCTAAAGACTAACGGGCCGCTAAGAATGAACGTTTAGACGGACACATTGACAAACGAGGTGGGCCAAAACCTTCTCTGATACCATGATAGAATTTAGGATGCGGTAGTGATAACTGGATTGGGCAATAAGACACTTGGGCTGAACCACATTAAAAGATTGAATCCAATCGATTAGTTAGTTCAACTCAAGAGCTTATATACCGAATTACCGATTATTTCACTCTAACACTGTTCATTAATTTCATACCGTTTCTTTTATTATAATCAAAATTAAAATAAAATAAAAAAGAATAGAAAAGAAAATAAATAAAAAGAAAAGTATGTGAAAAATTACTCTTATAGAATAGGGAAAATTAAATCATGAAGGAAATCTTTTGCGCATTGGTCCAAAAAATGTTATTAATATGGGCACGGTTCCGTTGACACTTGTCAAAGGTGGCACTAGCGGTGCCACTGCATTTTTGGAGCACCTCTGGTGCTCTAATCGGAAAATTGATGGTTCCTACCCCCCTAACCCACCCTCTAAACCCTCCACCCGAGTGTCACCCCTACCCCCCACCCCACCCCCGCCCTAAGCCCCCCCCATAAATGTGTGGCTATTATGCAATGTGGGCTAAACGCACCCCATCATTTGGGGGGACCCACTTAACATTCACTTCTGGCATTACTACTGTGCTCAGAATGTCATCATGTCTCTACTTCATTACCAAAACTCGCCTTGTGTCTGGTGCTGCCGCTGTGAAGTGACCTAATTTTCTTTCATTCTTCACATGGATATCTTCACTTGCTCCACATCTTCATTTACTCACCTACAGCGGCTACACAAGTACACGTAAGCGTACCTTACTCAGGCAAACTCTTTATGGTTCACTCTGGACTATACCTGCTGAAACATATTAAACAAATGGAACCTTCTAAATTAACTTTTTTCCAACACATGCAAATCTTGAATTTAAAAGGCTGCAGCCTTTCCATAATGTCAATGTTTGAATGAGGAAAGAAATATCGAATGTGTAAAAAAATCTGGTTTGGTAGGAATATCCAATTGAACCTGAATGATATATGTATGGATGTGTATGTGTGGGTGTGCACGGATCCTTTACCCTTTGCTTGGTTCAAAAGAGGGAGATGAGGGAAGGGGAGGAGAAATGGGGAGATGGGAGGAAACGAAAAGAGTTTAAAAGCTGTTTTTTGGTTCAATAGATGAGTGAGGATGGATTATTGTTTTAGCAAAACACATAAAAATTACGGAGTAGCTTATTTCGTATGATTTTTGTTAATGTTAAAATATACGGACTTACAGAGTAATGATCTGTGTGTAACAGCAATAATGTAGAACAATTTTCCTAAAGCAATTTGAAAAAAAAATAAAGAAATATATCTCCCCTGAAATACCATGTTTGGGGAGAGTGATATGAGAAGTTTGGAGTGTATAGCTCCTTCACGTTCCTTGCTTTCCACTAACTCCCCAGAAGAAACACATATCTATACTTTGGAACTAAATACACTGTGTCTTTAGTGTTTATTTCCACTTTTGTAATCTTTCTTTCGGTTCAATGAACAATCAATTGATGACTTCTTTGGTCTTACTGTTAATGCTTAAATGCAGTGAGAAATCAGAGACGGTGCTAAAGAGCCACTTCCTTACAATATTGTATCCAGTTGATCGATTTTCGGAAATAGGTCCTTGTTCAAGAACATATTTCAGCGATAATGGCTTCAAGTGTCTGCAGCTCTTGAATTATATATATGCCTTTTACCAGGTAACTGGTGCTACTCCCCTTCTAAACTCTTGTTTTGAAATGAAATGCTGCTAATTTGGCTCAACGTTTACAGCTCAAAATTCATTGTTTTTAATCACTTGCTTGAGAAATCTATGATTTAGGCTATGGGATACAATTTATTTTTTGCCCAGTATATTGTTAGAGTTTCTTCTCATCTAGCTCCTTACATATAACGAATGCTAGCCAAGATTTATCAAGTGAACTCCTGTTTTTCCTTGACTAGTTATAAATCACCTTAAATAGGAGTAAAACATAGAGAAAGTACCAAAATAGGAGCTCCATGTTTTTATCCTTAAAATAGGAGTTTACATTGTGATAATGTGGCACTATGTATGGACATTTCACAATACTTATTGATATTATATATTGGCATGATTGGCATTGTATATGCATTTTAACTCCTATTTTGAGAATAAAAACATGGAACTCTTAATTTGGTATTTTTTTTTGTTTTACTACTACATTACTCTTTTTCCTTAATAAATTTAGGTCAAGATATCTATAGGAGTAAATTTTTAGAAACTTTGTGATCTTATTTATGAATATATTTGAATTTGACCAGATCATTCTGAGAGAAATAATGACAGACCTAAAGTATAGAAACAGTGTGTTTTTATTGTGGAACTGCTGTCCAGAACAATGTGCCCATACATATAAATAGAGGACTAAACAACACAACCATTACAAATAGACACAGCAGTTTCTAACCAACACATCTGTTGGAAACTGTCATAAAACTGCCTGTAACTGCCCAACTGCCTGCCCTTTTTTTTTACTTATTTATTTTTAAATTTAAACTATATTCTGGACTGGAATTAACCAACATTCACCCCCTTGATTCCAGTCCTTATTCCTGCCAAATCTTCAATGCCCATCAGTTGCCTCATCTCGATAAACTTGACCCTTGGTAATGCTTTAGTCAAGATATCAGCTTTCTGCTCGTCACCACTTACATGCTCAATCCTGACCAGCTCTTTCTCAACACATTCACGAATGAAATGATATCGAGTGTCAATATGCTTACTTCTCCCATGGAACACTGGATTCTTCATTAACATGATTGCAGCCTTGTTATCAACGTAAATTGTTATGGGTTCCATGCTTTGACCGGTGATTTCTTCAAGCAAACCTTTTAACCAGACAGCTTGACATGCGGTTGCCGTTGCCGCCATAAACTCAGCCTCACATGAAGATAGTGCAAC